AACACTTGTATTTGACTTACAAATTGTTTATGGACACTTTCATAACGTGGATACAGGTAGGCAGCGTCTCGCATATATCGCTCTAGCCATAAAATACCGAAACCACAAGCCTACTACACCTCTATCTCTATCGGTGGGAGGTAGAAAATGTGTACTTCCTGTCGTCAAACGCTCCAAGCACATGCATACGAGAGGACCACAATCCCCTCTGGCTTCCTTCGTTTATTGTGGCGCGGTCTCATCTCTGATAACTGTAACATTGAACTTCTTTGGCTTCTTGTTTCCAGACTTAGTCCAATAATTAATTGCATCCAAGAATTTAGCCAAATGAGAGCTCCATCCCTTAATAATATTCTCAAATTAGACAATGATATGTAATTTATCATGCTGTCATATACTATTGTCTTTAGGGATGGGAGCTGAAGTTCGACGAGAAACCAATGAGTACGGTCCAAAACAGGGATAAACACCTGCATCGAAATGTAATAATTCAAATTGCGCACTTATTTATGAACACCTTTAAAATATTTAAATAAATATACTAACCTTATCGACCTCCCACCATGCAGGATAAAGTTTAGCTTGTCCATTAGCCAACACATATGATTCATGTCATTGATTCTTCAAGTGAACTACGTGAAAAGAAGTCGGCATAATTGTATATCGTTTTTTTTATATTTTTCTTTAATTTCCTTACAATTAGAAGACATGTCACCCATGCATCAATATGCTGTTTTACAAAAAAAGACATATATTAGTGAATTACATAAATTTTTTAAAAAAAATTAATCAAACTAAAATATAAGAAGAAATATAAGACTTACCCCCCATCAAAATAGCCGTTGTCTTCAACCCCTAATAATACACCCCACCAAGACCGTTCAATCAACAAATGTATATCATCGTTGAGTTTGTATATGTCAGCATAACACCCTTGGCTCCGCTCATGTAGATAAAAATCAACTGCGGTCTTAGCCCAAAGGGTATTATCCAGAATTGTTTCGGGTAGTTGTTTCCTCTCCACTTCATCTGCCGGAATGGTACTGGCCGGTAACTTATACGAAAGGCAACAGTCATCCATCATGTCCGGCACGTGAGGGGGCTTCTCAATAATTCGATATATTGCGCCGTGTGAATCGGGCTCTAGAATGTTGGGAGGGACCTCTTCAACGATGCAGTGGCCTCTTGAACAGTGGGAGGGGACTCTTGAGGGATGATAGGGTCCTCTTGAACGATAGGGAAGGCCCCTTGAACGATGACAGGTGAGTCGGGCTTTTTCTTACGAATTCTTCGCACTATTGGGGTGAACGGAGACGTAATGGCACGTGCATGCCGTCTGATACGTGAACTCCGTCTTTTAAGAAAAACCCGACGTAGAGCATCCACCTTAGCGGGCCGCTAAAAATAAATTAATACATAAATTAGTAAATAAACAGACATGATATTAAACAGTGAAAACAAAGGCAAATATATTTCAAACTTGCACGGTATTCACCCAAGTCATTATTATATCATTGTTCACAAAATGCATTAGATAACATTCCAGAAGTAAGCACTTATATAAACATTTAAAATGACAATATATAGGTTTAGTGCAGGTTCAATGACAACATAAAGAGTAGTAGTTTATTCTTGAAACTTAAATTTTCAACACTGTGAAGTTAGTATTTGTCTTTTGGTTGAAGTAATGCAATTCATTCAAGTTTCAATTTGCAGAAGAAGAATAGAATCTGAAACTTAAAATCGCAACGCGAAAATGACTATCGCAAAGCGAAACTGACTATCGCAACGAGAGAATCGCAATGCGAAATGAAAATCGCAACAACAAAATCGCAACGCGAAAATGACTATCAAAATGCGAAAATGACTATCGCAATACGAATTTGACTATCGCAACGAGAGAATCGCAATGCGATTTTCATTTCGCATTGCGATTCTTTCGTTGCGATAGTCAAATTCGCATTGCGATAGTCATTTTCGCATTGCGATAGTCATTTTCGCATTGCGATAGTCATTTTCGCATTGCAATTTTGTTGTTGCGATTTTCATTTCGCATTGCGATTCTCTTTGCGATAGTCATTTTCGCATTGCGATAGTAAACTATTCTTCTTCTACAAATTGAAACTTGAATGAATTGCATTACTTCAACCAAAAGACAAAAAAAACAAATACTAACTTCACAGGGTTAAAGAATAAACAGTTAAACAGTATTGGCAGCAACCGAATGAATTTACTAAGCAATCTAAGTGAAATTACGAGTAAATTTATCATCAAGTTAAATATGAAAAATATTAAACTTACCTCGTTGCGTAGAGTATGAATCTCGTTCTGCAACGATGCTACAATCTCACGTAGAGCTGCTACCTCACCATGTAAAGTAGACACCTCAACACGCCATGCAACATTGTCATCGCGTAAAGTACCGACCTCCTTACGCAAGGCATTGACCTCATTACGTAACTCCCCTAACTCATCCCGTGGAGGTGGAGGTAGAGAACAGGGAGATAAACGTCGTGGCATCTTTTCCGGTCGCCTATCATGAGGTGATGGTGGAGAAGAGGCTCGATGATGTGACAAAATAGGTGATGACTCTCATTCTGGAGGTGTTTATTCGGGTCGATCAGGTGATGGCTCTGGGTGAGGTGATGGCTCTCGAAGTGGTGGCTGCTCATCATCCGTGCCATAAAAAAAAGCTTACTAGCTTGCCACCAATCAGTGGCAAGCTCAGCTTCCGTGGGTGTCAGCCTTTGTAATGGAGTGTTGGCCTCCTAACAATATAAAAGCTCAAACAAAGTTAAACGTGTACTAGTAATAACTTGTTTATAAAGATATGGTAGTATTTGTGTTAATTTACATTATTTATTGTAGTATACGGTATTAAATCTTCCCATTGCTGCAAGGACCATTTCCTCTTCCAGGAAATAGCCCTAGGAATATCATTAGAAGTTTTTAATGCATATGTCTGCATGGCGGGAAAGGCCTCAAATATCCAAATCTACAAACAATATAATAACAAACATTAATAATTGTTAAAGAATTAATTATAATTTTGGAAACATTATATAAAAATTATTACCTTAAAGGCCCAAATAAAGCCTGACAAAGTGTATTTGGAACCGTCGCCACGCAAACTTTTCCAATCATTAAAGGCAGACGACAACTTATTCCATGTAGCTCTCCATAGATACGAACCCCACGGAAACAGGTTCCATGCATTTATGTCCTCTACCAATTTAATTAGATCATTAGGAATAGGTTGTCGGGCCTCTCTGCCTAAAAAGCCGGCTTGCAAAAGTATTAGAATGCATACTCGGACAACATCGACGTCATCCATCCGAGTAAAACCATCTTTCTTATTCAATAATCTCGTCAAGTCTTCCACGTGTAAATTCGACTTCTCCGTTGACAGCTCAGGAAAAACCCTGGAAAACCATGATAGGCGGGTAATATGTCTAGTGTACCGATCTACATCATCGTGTCCGAAGCGTAGACCGGTGATTAAGCAAAACTCCTCCCGCCCAAAACACATATACGCCGGTGGAAAATAAACCATATCTCTTCATCACGACGTTGTATAGTCTCTGGTAGATCGCTAGTCATGGTTTGAAGAAACAGATGGGTCAACATAGCATCTCCACCCGGATGTTGTACTTTCAACCATGGCTCGAAGCAAGTATCCTCAAATATTTTTCTTTGTACAGGTGAAAGCTTCGACGCAATTGTTTTGGCCAGCTTACTTTATTTCTTAAGGTCAATTGAGCCGAATAAAAGTTCTGCAAAAACAATAAACATACCAATTTAGATATACCAAAAACTACACTGTGAAGATATGAACAATAAACATAAAGAGTAGTAGTTTATTCTTCAAACTTAAATTTACAACACTGTGAATTTAGTATTTGTTTTTTGGTTGAAGTAATGCAATTCATTCAAGTTTCAATTTGCAGAAGAAGAATAGTTTCTGAAACTTTAAATCGCAACACGAAAATGAAAATCGCAACACGAAAATGACTATCGCAACGCGAATTTGACTATCACAACGCAAGAATTGCAACGCGAAATGAAAATCGCAACGACAGAATTGCATTGCGATAGTCATTCTCGGTTTTAAATACTAAAATTGAAAGAAACTTGAATGGATTGCATTACTTCAACCAAAAGACAAAACAAAGATAAATACTAACTTCACAGGGTTAAAGGCTAAACAGTTTAGCAGTATTGACAGCAATCGAATGAATATAATAAGCAATCTAAGTGAAATGGTTAATCTATTATTGAAAACATCAGTAAACTTATCATCAATTTCAATATGAAAAACCTAATAATAATGCAAAAATTTCAAAATAAAAATAATTAAAAAAACTAACCCTCGGTGGTTGATTTGGTTGATTTTTCATTTCTGACCGTGAATGATTTTACCGGAGATAGAGACTGATATCGTCGGTGATGGGGACTGATTTCGTCGGAGTTAGGGACGGATGTCGCCTTAGAGAGTGAGAGATGGAGATGAGACTGAGTTGTGATTTAGGGTTTTAGGTTATGAGTTGCGATTACAGAATATACTGTGGAAGGTTCAGTGTTCGATATATTAATATATTCGTGTTTGGAATTTGAAAAAAAAAATACGCGTTGGATACGAATGGCGCTATGTAAATCGCATTGCTATAGTCAGATTCGCATTGCGATTTACGTAATCGCATTGCGATTTTCCAAATTCGCGTTGCGATTTACGTATTCGCATTGCGAATTAGGAAAATCGCAACGCGAATTTGGGAAATCGTAATACGATAGTCAGAATCACGTTGCGAATCTAGAAACTGATTTGCGATACCGAAGATCGCGTTGTGTATTATCGATCGTATTACGATTTAGTTGGTCATTTTGGTAAATCCAAAATAAATTAATTAAAATTGTATATTATAAGGTATTTTTGGTGACTGAGTTTATTTTCTCTTTTAGATATTAAGATGTGCTTTGTTTAAACCTATCAACGGCTTCAAATGGACAGCAGGAAAAATTGAAGAGCGGAAGCAAATCACTTGCGCCATGGACGACAACGGAGCTCCCACTTTCGAGCCAGTAATCCCTATATTCCCTAAACATATCCTTTTTTTTTCTTGGATTATTGAAATCACTTTGTTTCTGCTTTCTTGTTTTAAGGATTTGATTAGAGCCATTTTCAAGCATATTTGGGTTAAAAAAGCTCAAGGTTTACAATTCTCTCTCGCTTATTCCCCCTTCCATTTTTGTTTTCTCACTTCAAGTATTTAAGGGTTTTTTATTGCTTCCATTCCAGAGCGTGAAAGAAACGAATTCCCAAACACAGAGGCTGTAGATTCCGAGGTACCCTTCCTTTTTCTTCTACATTTTCCCAAATTCTTAACATCTTTTATTCTTCCTTCTTTTATTCTCTTTTGGGTTCGTAAAATTTTAGGTTGGAGCTGGAACATCGAAGAAGAATCGACCCACATCTGGTAATCTCTTGGATAAAATGAAAATCGAATTTTTTGTTGACAAATTGTAAACTATTTACTTTATTTGATTGCAGCTAATGCAAATGCTTTAAAGCTTAGTTGTGAACTTCTTCGTGTTTTTACCACAGGTTTTTTTTTTTTTTGTCAATTTTTTCGTGTTTATTTGTGAACTTTGATTCACATTTAAAATAAACAAACACCATTTCTGTTTTGAACACAGAGGCTGTCCAGAGAGCTGGAACAATTGCTGAAGCTGAGGGTAGCACTAAGATTGAACCAACTCACTTAGAAAGGATTCTTCCTCAATTACTTCTTGATTTTTAAGGGTATTTATTAATTAATTCCTTGGCTCTTTTTATTGTATGACTTTTGCACAAATAAAAAATGTGAAGCAATTTGTTTAATTAGGCTGTTTTTTGATCGATCTGGTAAGAATGGAAAAGAACTAGAATGTATTGTTACTCTGGTTTGAGTGGCGGAACATGTTCGATGTTTCAAGATTATTTTCCTACTTTTCGAATGTCCTTGAAAGATTTTGTTTAGATCCTATACTTATACCTGGATATGTGTTTGAAGGTGATGGATTTGGTGTTGTGATTGAAGCCTAGTTGATTGAAATTAAACCTACTGCATCTTCAAGTTAACATGGGTATTGCCTGTTAGTTTTTGGTGATGTTGCATAATAATATATAGAAACTTTTATTCTGTAGAATGATGCATTTGAAGAATAAGGCTAATGGTTTTTTGTGATATTTCTTCAGAAAATATAATGTAAATGAGAAGGAAACAGTCGTGTGTTCCTATTGCATCATAATGTTCTCTGCAATCCTTATTGTCTCTTGATGGGGAATGAATCGGTTTTGTTAGTTGGCCAGGATAAGCAATGTCACCTCACCTACTGCTAGTTATTATCGCATACAGTTCCGATACGAAAGATACAGACTTGTTTCATGTTTTTGATGTCTTCTGCTTTGCTATTTGACAATGTGCTATAAAACTGGTAGCTGAAAATGACAGAATTTGATAGGTTTCTCATTCATCGAGCAAGTTTGTATTCACCATTTGGCTAATTGTTATACGTAATGTGGAACGAAAGCATAAATAATGCCTGATATTTGACATTTTCTTTTATCACCTTGCAATGTTCCATTGATTGTTTAATAGAAAATAAAGCATAGATCTGGAGTTATTTGACTGTATTTCCTAGCTGTTGGGATCTCGTCTCAGCAACTGCTTTGATTGTAGAAAGTTGAACCTTTCAACTAGACTGTTGATAGAACTTCTTTTGTATCATATCATTTGACCAGGGCTCAGCTTGCTTATTCATCCGTTGGAACTGATCGACATCTATGCAGTATCTCTACATCAGCTCATAAGTAGTATCGCCGGATTGTTCATCCATTTTGTATGTAGAGAATAGACTTTCTTGCCACTAGTAGCACTTTAGCATCAAATATATCTTCCAAGTTTGTTTAATGGCTTAATGTGACCGAGTTCGATCTTAGTTGACATGCTCCGGCGTTTGGACTTTTTATTACACACCTGTGAATCTAAGTACTAATTGTTTTGATCTATATTGATGGTGTACAAGGCTAGCCTGTTGGTCGTGTTCTCGATGGCATCATACTACTTTTTCTTCTCATGGAAAAGATTTACAGATGAACCTAGGTTCAGTGATTTAAAAGGAAAAAAAAGAATGGACCAGCTGGTTTAACCGGGTATTCGATTGGTCACGTTTTCGATCTCGTCACACTTCTTTTCTTCTTATTGGTGAGAAAGGCAGTAGTAAAAGAAAAAGACTGGACTGAGCGGTTCAACCAAGTGAGACGGTTGAACAATAAATTAAACCAGAAAACTGGCTTAAACCGGAAAAGATCAATAAAGAAAGGTCGAAAAGCAAAAAGAAAGAGCCTTTGAATGCTAAATGTAACCAACAAAATTGTAACTTAGACAGGGAACTCAAAAGCCACGCTATATTTCTTACAAGCGTTACAAGTATGTTACATATTAGGATCGTATGCAGAAAAAAGCAAATTGAACAATAAAGGTAAACTAATAATTATTTTAACAGTATTGATCTTCTTGCATGATCATAGCCTTAAACATTGTTGCCTTGATGACCTTAGTTCTTGATCTGAGACAACATGCATCTAACATCCTTACTGCTGGGTCTCTCCTTTGGATCATCCAAAGTGCAGAAGTAAGCAATTTTGAGGACCAGAATCATTTGTTCATCGTACCCTTTTCCAAGAAGTCTAGTATCAATGGCTAGGCTCGGATTTTCCGAAACAATTATGTTTCTCATCCATTTCACCAGGCTCATTTCATAGGTGTGTTGAAAGAACTCGTCCGAAGGAAGCTTTCCCATCACCAGAACAGAGAGTATAACCCCGAAGCTGTAGATATCACACTTGTCGGTGAACTTTAGTGTTTGATGATATTCCGGTGCTATGTATCCGACTGTGCCAGCCAAATTCGACGTGGTTACATGTGTGTTTGCATCAGGCATTGCTTTGGCCAGCCCGAAATCAGCTATTCTAGCTTCCATATCATCGTCAAGAAGGATGTTTCCCGGTTTTAGATCTCTGTGAATGATCCGGGGACTATGGTGCAAGTGCAGATATTCAAGCCCTGCTGCAATTCCGGCAGCGATCTTTTGCCGAGCAGGCCAATCAAGTTCCCTTGTACCTTCGGAAACTTGATGCAAAAGATCTTGTAAGCTTCCATTCTTCATGAACTCGTAAATAAGTAAATGACAGTCTGGTCGAGAAACATGAGCCAACAGAGAAAGGAGATTCCGGTGTCGAATTTGACCGACGGTGGTGATCTCCGATCGGATTTGACGCATTTTCTTGTGCAGAAGCTTGCTATCTTCATCAGTCAATTCAGCTGCATCTTTTGGAGGCTGAATGATCTTCTTAATAGCAATCATTTTTCCATTACTTCCAGGCAACTCAGCTTTGTAAACTTCCCCACACCCTCCTTTGCCTATGATCTCCAATGAATCCAAGCCATCATCTTTCTCCAAAAATGCTAAATCCTCAGCTTTCTTTATCAACGGACTGAATATCGATGGACCCGAATCTTTGCCTCTTCCTCTAACAGTGTCAACGGCCAGCTTAAACATCACCGAGAAGATAAACCCGGAAAAACTCCCGGCTGACCCTCCGGCGAGGAACCCGAAAATCCATCCCATTAGTTTCTTATGACCTTTGTGTTTTTGATGGGGTGGTGTTGATGGACCGGGAGCTGGAGCTTCAGCAGCTGCAGAGTTTCTTCCATGATGTGATGGAGCTGAAGATCGACTGCCATTACTTCTTGGATCAGTTCCCTCAGCAAATACGTACCGTTTCGGGTACCTCGAAACTGAGGCTTCATCGGCTTTGCTCATCAATGGAGCTGAAGCTTCAAGGAAACTGTTACCGGAGAAGTCGAAGAATTGAAGGTTTCGAAATGAACGTATCGATGGTGGGATTTTCCCGGAAAACTGATTGTTTGCAAGGGAAAGACTTTCCAGGTTGGGAAAATGCTTCAAGAAACTCAAGTCGCCAGTGAACTTATTGAAAGACAGATCGAGAACTCGAAGACGGATCAAAGAAGACATATTCGATGGTATTTCACCATGGAACATATTGTTTTTGAGATCTAGAACTTCGAGTTTTTTACAATCAACGATTTCTATCGGGATTTGATCAACGATATTGTTGTGAGAAACAGTCAGCTCTTTGAGCTCGGTAAGCTTCCCGATCTCAGACGACAAGAATCCGTCGAGCCCTTTGGATTTAAACACGAGCCTGGTGATTCTGAGAACGTAAGTTTCGTTGTCGACGAGTCTCCGCTCACAAAAAACGCCGGCTGCGGTGCAAGGATTAGTGGTGGGGAAGCGTTGAGTATTGATTCCGAGGTCTTTAACAATTACGGAAAGAGCTTTTGAGTCTGAATGGACGAGAGCTAGCCTTGCATAGGATGTGAAGAATAGTGAAGAGAGAGTGAAGAGGAGGAGGAGGTTGAGGTGGCGGTGGCGTTTGGCTGCGGAAAATGCCATTTTCGCGGGGATGGAAAGGCGCTGGTTTTGAAGAAACTTGGAATTGTTATAATTTGGATTGAATGTTTCTCGTTTTAAAGATCCCCAGCACGTGGAAAACCACGTTTTGTTGGACCCCATTTTAAATGTAAACATATTTCTCAGGTTGACTGACTTTTTTTTATTATAATGATTATAATGAAGAAATAATAAAACATTTTTCTTCAAATAAATAAATAGAGTGATTCCAGCATATGTTTTTATTCAAAATAGTTCAAGTGAAGATTTTATATTTTCGTTATGAGTGTGTTGGGCCGCTGCTTGACTCGGTCAATAAATATCTTTATAGAAATACACGTAAAATGAATTATTTTATTTTGAAAACAATAATAAAAATAAAAAATTTAAAAAATTCACGTAAGATAGATTCTCATGACCACAATATTAAGGAGAAAGTAAAATGGCAAATTTTAAGATAATTAAACTATTATAGCTCTATGTTCACTTAAATTTACGTTTTTCAAAAATCGTAATAATTATTATTTCAATTAAATTAAGATTTATTTAATAAAAATAGAAAATACCAGTAAATATAAACAAATATGTTAATTTCACGTAAAATAGTATTTGACCTATTGTATATAATAAAATAAGGATTTATTGAGTTCAAGCCTATTTGTAAAATTTACAAATTATTTATAAATATACAAATAATTATAGAAAACATTTCTTTAAATTATTAATTAAGTTTATTAATTTATCAAATGATTATAATTTTTAAATATAATTATAAAAAATTTAAAATAAATAAAATACAAAATTTAAATTTAAATATTAAAGCTTGTATTGATTAATATGAGATGATATGTACCGACACAAATTTAGAATGAAAATAATCTAAATAGGATTAAACATTTTTAAATATTTGAATATCATTAAATTTTAATCGAAATAAAAATAAAATATTAATATCGATTTAATAGGAGTATGATCGATACTAATATGAACAGTATTGTATCGGTCTGATATAAACTACTATTAACTTATAACAGTAGTATTGTCACACCCTAATTTAGGGTCTAGATTTATTGTATTTAATTGAGGGACTAAAATGATTTATTTTGAAGACTTTCGAGTCAAATTTGAAAGTTTGGGAAGTTTAGGTACTAGATCCGTAATTTCCCCATAACCTATTCGAACCCAAAAATAAAACTCATAATCCATTTTCCCATAGGTATTAGTGAACTCGTGTTATCCCAAACCCCAAAATGAGTCATCACGTCGCTCCATCCAGCCGCCATTCAGCGCGCCGTAGCCGCCGTTCGACTCACTAGAAGCCAGTGACCAAAACCCCCAAGGTCAATCGGTGTGAGCTGCCGTCGATTGTCGTGGGGAGCTCACCAAAATATGATGAATCCCTAGCCCTCGCCGTTCGGTTTTTCCCGAAATTCATCCGCCTCGCTCATCGTTGTGCCTCAACGCCACTATAGTCGTGTTTCCTGGCCTATTCCGCTCAAAACTCGAGCGGTGGGTCGCGTCAACGTCGTAAGTTTTATCGATCGCTGGCATGGGTAAGTGCTTCGGCCCTTTTCTTTATATCGGATGGATTTTGGGCTGATGTTAGTTAATTATTTATTACAATTGGGTAATTGAAGCAATATGAGTAATCGGTTTATCACCCCGAGCTTGTCGCCACGCGCCTCCGCGTACGCATGGGCTTCTTCTGCATGCCTTGAAAACCTTCTAGAACCGTTCTGAACCGGCCCAAACTGATCCGAACCAATTCAGCCCGACCCAACCCGTTGACTTTGACCTGAACTGTTGACCGTTGGCTTTGACCGATCTGACCGTTGACTTTGACCAAAAAGTCAATTTTTTTCTCGAAAAGTCCTATTTATATTTTTCAACGTCTTGAGTTCAAATATGAAGTCCATTTTGCCAAATTCGTTTTTGGTAAGCCGTTTTTCAGTGTTTTATCTTTAGATTCAAATTGGTTTCTTAATTAAGTTTAGTTTCTGACGTAAATTCATTTGCTATGTATCCGAGGAATTATTGGACGTTGAATTCAAGTTCGAGAGTGATCGAATGGAGATTAAATGTTCGATCGATGGAGCATAAAAATTGAGGTAATACTTTACTACCTTTTGTATGCTTTTCCGGAACACATTGATAATTGGTAAATTCATGAATGGAAATAATTAGTCCACGAGGTGTATTTAATTATTATTAGACTCAAATTGAATTTGGAATAAAGACGGAACACTGTATAAGACTCAGACGGTTCGTAAAAGGAATTGGTAGACCGATCGAAATAAATCTAAGTTCAGTGATTTAATCAGTAAATTAATCAATAAATTCTGATTAACCTCGTTAAAGGTTAAATGTCAAAAATGATTGGATAAGAAACAAAGAAAATATCGGTATGATATAAAATATAAGAATTTTCTCGGAAAGTGAAAATAATCATGTTAATTGATCATGATCTTTGAGATGGTAAAAGACTTAAATTTTCTAATTCTTGAGTGAACACCCGGAGGCTAAATTACCGAAAGTACCTTACACGTCTTAGGAGAGTTGAGAAATTTGGAAATCCTAGA